TGCGTGTGTGCGTGCGTGCGTGTGTGCGTGCGTGCGTGCGTGCGTGCGTGCGTGCGTGCGTGTGTGCGTGCGTGCGTGTGAGTGTGTGCGCGCGCGGGCGTGCGTGTGTGCGTGCTTGCGTGCGTGCGTGCGTGCGTGCGTGCGTGCGTGCGTGTGAGTGTGTGAGTGTGTGATGAGTGTGTGAGTGTGAGTGTGTGTGTGTGGTGCGTGCGTGCGTGCGTGCGTGCGTGCGTGCGTGCGTGCGTGCGTGCGTGCGTGCGTGCGTGCCCAGCAGCAGCGGCAGCCAGCGGCTCCCCCCGGTCGACGACGACCGACGACGGGGAGGACGACGACGTCGACGAGGTTGCGGACGGTCGGATCGAAACGGATCCTGGTCGGGGCGGGTCGGGACCCGGGGCCACGAAGAGAAACGGAAGGAGGGACGAGTACAGGGAAAGAGAACCGCTCCTCGACGGCGATCTGGCCGGAACCGGACCGAACCGGAACAGGAACCCGCCGGACCGAACAAGGAACAAAAAATAGACGCACCGAACCGAACCGAACCGGAAGATTACGACACCGAATCGAACCGAACCGAACCGGAGGCACTTCGGAACCTAACCAAACCGAACCGAACCGGAACTTTCCTGCCATTATGATGGAGAGGGGTCTGGCGGCAGCGGGCGAAGCCGTTACGGATAAGCTTTTGGCACTCCGCGCGGATTTGGTGGATCTGCGCTGGAACCCCCTCCCTGGCGCGCGGAGCGCGCCAGGGGCGCCGTCGGGGGGTCCCAGCGCGGATCCAAGAAATCCGTGCGGAGCGCCGAAAGTTTATGTTTGTGGCGTTTTGTCTTCTTCGACTCTGGGAGGTGGCTGCGACCCGAAAGGCCATTACACCGCCCATGTCGCCCACCCTTCTCGCATCCCCTGCTTCCGGCCGTCCACGAAGCCCGACTCGACGCCCCGCTGCCAAGCGTCCTCGGGGAGAGGCACGAGAGAGATCCGTGCTTGCCTCCTCCTCCTCCAGAAGAAGAAGAACGTCCCTCAAAGACAAGAGACCCTCCGCCGGCCCCAACTGAAGGACACTCGAGGGTGCCCTCCCCCAGGATGCACAAGAACGTGCAACAAGCAGAAAGAACATGAGGGTATCCTCCCCGAACGGACCCCGATCCTATACCCTGCGATCCGACGGCACGAGGAAATTGCAGCTTCGAGGAAAAATCACGCCCGTAGCCCTGGACCCCAGTTTTCTGCGTCAACTTTGAGCCGGATCGATCTGTCAGGGTCCCGGAGCCCGAAACGGGACGAGGCGAAAACGCCCGGCTCGGAAGAAGATCGAAGCAAGAGCATGCAACAAGCACGAAGAGCGTCAGGGTGCCCTCCCCGAACCAACCTCGATCGTGTACCTCGGTCCGACCGCCACTAAGTGGCGTAACTTGCACGCGGGCCTCCTCAGCCCCCCTCAAGATGTCCAGAAGAGGAAGAGCACGAGGAGGAGGAGCACCCCCCGAGAGCAGCAGCCTCCTCCTCCTCCTCCTCCTCCTCCTCCTCCTCCTCCTCCTCCTCCTCTGCCTCCTCCTCTGCCTCCTCCTCCTCCTCTTCCTCCTCCTTTTCCTCTTCCTCCTCCTCCTCCTCTTCTTCCTCCTACTCGTCCTCCTGCCTCCTCCTCCTGCTCCTCCTCCTCCTTCCTCCTCCTCCTCGAGACAGGCATGCGATGGTTCTGTTCCCACCACCCACTTGACGGTCACCATGCGCGGAACATGGTCACATTGCTGCTGGCCCGCCTCGACAAGGAGGCGCGCCGAGACAGACGCTGTGAGCGACGATTTCATGATGATGCCGACGACTGCACGTGGCTGTTGCTTCGATCCGGTCATACGCCGATTGTCTTCAACTCCCCAGGGAGACGAACGCAACCCTGTTTGGAAAGACCTAGATGGTCGATGATGCCTACAGACTCAAAGAGGCACTGAGAAACGGAATGCGGGATCGGATCGTCTTCACCTCCCACGCGTCCACGACCGACAAGAAAAAAAAGCTCGGGGGGAACCGGTCATGGCATGAATACCTGCAGTCGTGCTGTGTACGCCAAGGGCTAACAGAGACCGGCCGATGCCAACAATTCGACTTCTGCCGCGCCGTGCTGCCTGCACTCGCTAGTCTGGTTTTGGCGCGGGAGCGAGGGCGATACTGAAGGGGCCCTGGGACACACAAATACGTACACACAAATAACCAGATGCCCCATATTTTCCCATCTCTTCAAGGCTTTTGTCCTCCCCCCCACTTCCCATATCTTCCCTTGTTTCCTGGGGGATCGACGATGAATTGTGTCCGTGCGTTTTGTTCCCCTCCTGCGATACCGAATCTCATCGGCGGGCGGAGGCGCTCCCCAGACATCCCAAAGCTCCGTCGGGGGGGGGGGGGGGGGGGGGGGGCGTGGCCCCTCGGCCCCACGGCGGCAAAGCACCCCAGTCCGCGGTCAGGGGACCGGGCAGCCCAGTGGCGGCCCGCGTCATGCTATCGGGAGGGGGGGGTCAGGGCATCCTCCCCCCCCCCCTCCCATGGATGAATGCTCGTGATGACTTATGAGGAGAAGGCTTGAGACGGGATTGCACATTACAACATTACTGATGCATCCTCCTCATCATCATCATGGTCAGCATCATCATCAACACCACCCTCGTCTTCATTATCACCATTATCATCATCGGCATCACCACCACACCACCATCACCACCACCAGCATCATCATCAGCATCATCACATCACCATCAACAATGCCATCCTCATCATCATCATGATCATCATCATAAACCGCAACAGCATCAACATCATCATCGTCATCAGCGTTACCATCCTCATCATCTTCCTCATCATCATCAGCAGCATCATCAGAACCAGCCTCATCATCATCATCATCATCATCATCATCATCATCATCATCATCATCATCATTATCATTATCGTCGTCATCGTCGTCGTTCGAATCATCATGAGCATCGTCATCATCATCATCATCATCATCATCATCATCATCATCATCGTCATCGTCATCGTCATCGTCATCATCGTCGTCGTCATCAGCATCATCGTCGTCGTCATCAGAACCATCCTGATCGCCGCCATCACCTGCACCAACAGCATCAACGTCAACATCAGCAGCAGCATTAGCATCGACATAGTTCTCATCGCCGCCCTCCCCTTCCCTCGTCCTCACCACCCCTGGGTGGCGGGAGGCGATCAGGCCTGGCACGCTGGGGCCTCTTTGTACGTCACAGAGCGATGCTGAACACAAATTGCACGGTTTCCCCCCGGGCCGTAGGCGACCTGAGGAGGAGGAGGAGGAGGAGGAGGAGGAGGAGGAAGAGGAGGAGGAGGCAGAGGAGGAGGCAGAGGAGGAGGAGGAGGAGGAGGAGGAGGAGGAGGAGGAGGAGGACGGGTCGCCTAAGCCCTTCGGAGAACCCCTCCAGCACAAATCTCCCATACCGAGCCGGCCCACTCCCCCTCGAAGCAGCGGGTCGCCTGCCAGCCGCTCCCCTCCACTCGCGGCTCCCTCCCAAACCAGCCTCGAGACCTGATCCCTGTCCCCAAGATTGGCACGCCCAAAGGCGAGGGCAGTCTTGGGGATGCATCCTCAGAAACTGCGGGAGGCCCTAAGATCGCCATCGAGATGAGGCGATGCCCAACACATAGGGATAGGGACATGGACCAGGCTGGCTCCCTCCAGGCTGCTTCCGCTCCCCGAGGCTTGCCCCAATACGCCCGCCCCCCCCCCCGGACCACGCCCCTCCCCCCCTCCCCCCCACCCCCACAAGAGGGACACTTCCAGACAGTCCTGTGACTCCCCCGACGCTACAAGAGAGCCTATAGGAGAGCGCAAGAGAGGTCCAACAGCCCTCGATATCTCCTCAAGGGGACGCCGAAGGCCCCTCGGGGCCTCCGAAGATGGTCTGCAACTACCCCACAGCACAGCACCCGAATAATTAGCATGCCGGGAACGCACTCGGAGACGGGCGACGCGAGCAGGGGGAGTCCACCGGAGTAAGACTTGCCCTCCGGCAGATGGGAACATCATGCTTATCACATCTAGTGGTTGCCTCCCGCCTCCTCCCCCATGCCCTGGCCCAGGGCTGAACCTAAACGGTGTTTGTCGTGTTCGTTTTGTTTTCGCTCTCCCGAAGCGACAACGGCCCACGAAAGCGCCAAGACACCGCTTCGGCCCAGCCCTGCCCTGGCCTGCAGACATCCGATGACAGCCCAGCTCTCCTTGGCAGCCCGCTGGGCGCCCGTGCTCCGTCCAGGCCGCCGGGCTCCCGCCCCACCTCGGGCCCGGGCCCGAGGCGGCGAGAGGGCGGCGGACCCAGGCCCCCGACGCCGTGATGATTCTCGCAGCGCCGACGCCCAAAGGTCTGGACCCCTTCCCTCGCCTTAATGTCGTTCCCATCCTACTTGGGGACCGCATCCCAGAAATAAGCTCGAGCACCCGGAAAAGTGCCGAAAAAGTGTCGAAAGAGTGTCGAAAGAGTGTCGAAACAGGGCCAGACACGTGAAAACGACCGAGTTTCGGTATTTTCGGGGGGGCTCGAAATTCTTTCTGGTGGTCAAGGCCAAAGTAGGTTAGAACATCATAACCCTCGCCATCGCTCGGACGTCCATTCCCTGTGCTTTTTTCGGTGTCGTGCGTGGTCTTTTCGCCACATGATCAAGGATGCTCCTCGATGGTCCTCGCCGCAGGAAACATGCACACGTCCGAGCGATGCCAAGTTCCCCGGGACTGGTTTTTCATCCTGGGTCTTAAGACGGGAGTGTTCAGAAATAGTCAAAAAATGCTCTGGGGACGATGCTTTGAGTATTTGTTTGACTATTCTAGGGTATGCCCAAAATTCGCCTGTAGGGGGACATGCCCGACCTAACCTGAGTCGCTTCCTGACGGTCCCGAGGCCCGGGAGGGCCTCCCGAGGCCGAAGACAGCGAAACACCTCTCGTCGTTACCTCTTCACAAGCGCGAGGAGAGGTCTGGGCCTCCTCCCCGCCCGTGCTCCCCCTCCCCACAAGGCAAGGCAAAACCCTCGCCGCGGGTCCTCCAGGCCCTCGAAGCCCGAGGCGGTCCATGCCAGCGCGGCCAGGAGGGCCAGGGCCAGCGTGCCGATGCCCTCCAGAGCGGCAGGAAGAGGCGAGGAGAAGAGATCCGGACCGCCAGCGGGCTGGGTTCTCAAATCCGAGGACCTGTGACGGGCAAAGTTCCCACCACCACTACCACATGTAGGACGGCGGAGAGGGGAGGACGAGGAGGTCCTCCTCCTCCTCCTCCTTCTCCTCCTCCTCCTACCTATAGTAGTGATGGCGGAACATGGGCCCATCAGCCTGCTCTCACGCAGCCTGAGATCCCACCAAACCTTCGGAATCTGGGGGGGGCAGCCCGGGGCCAGAGAGTGAGCAGAAATCATAAAGAATCGCAGCTTCCCGTTCGGACATGTTGACCTTACTATGGGGCGCCCAGGTGTGAGCAGTGTCTTGCTCAGCCTCCTCGCATGAACAAGCGCAACCGAATTCGATTAACCAAACTGAAGGTAGGCGCGGCCAAATCGAAACTCGACCAGGCCAGCTGCTGCTGCCCTCGGCCATCGTAAGTTTGATCGAGATTATGTCGAGCGTCCGTCGAGATTGCGATACCGCGCCTGGCCTCGCGAACAACAGGTTGATCGAAACTGGAGGCTGGAGCGTATGAGGTCCTCCTAAACTCCGATGTAGCGCCTACGCTTCACTATCGAATCTTCGTCGTCGTCGCCGTCGCCGTCGTCGCCGTCGCCGTCGCCGTCGCCGTCGCCGTCGCCGTCGCCGCCGCCGTCGCCGTCGTCGTCGCCGTCGCTGCCGCCGTCGTCGTCGACGTCGACCCAGACCCCCAAAAATTCCCAGGCGCTCCCGGGCGCTGTCGGCGCTCCCCGCGCGGCGTTCCCGCGAGGCCTGTGGGAGCGCGGCTGGGAGCGCAGACGTCCCGCGTGCCCCGAGATCGCCCCGCCGAGGGGCCGCCCCGGGGCCGACCTCGGAGGCCCCTTGGGAACCTGGGCGCTCTGCAGGTGACGGCGTCCGAGCCCTACAGTCGGCCTCGATTGGACAGGCCACGCGAGAGGACACGAGACCCTTCCGAGGGCCACATTGCCATGGGGGATGTAGGAGGCATGGGTCGCGAGGCACAGGACACAAGGATACCTCAGGGTACCCTTGATTTGGCAGGGTCGACCTTCTAATCAGGGCCGACTGTACCCCCGCCAAGCATCGATTCTCCTGAATCCACGTGAGTTCGATGTGGCCATGCATTCCACGAGTTCCGAACCCCACCCCCTGGCGTCCATCGAGTTGCCTGAACCGTTGATCGACGACTCTGGGGGCCGGCCCAGCAGACCACAATAGGTGAAAACCTTATGGTTTCTGCAGGAATTCAGCATGACCGCCGTGTCGGTCGGAAGAGCATTCGAGGGGCCAGACAAAGGGGGGGGTATGCAGGGGGGGGGGGCCAGAAAAGCGTTAAGTCGGGCATGTCCCCCTACATGGGGATTTTCGGCGAAAAATTAAAAATACCCTAAAAATGTCCCCTAAAATACTCCAAAAATTGTCCCCCGACTATTTTTGGACTATTTTTGGAAAGTTTTTCTGTTTTTTTTATTTTTCGTCGAAAATCCCCCTGTAGGGGGACGCGCCCGACTTAAGAAAAGCGTGGCGTGAAGGCAGGTGGACGAACGAGGGGGCCAGGCTGGCAGAGGGGGGAGAGCGGAGCAGCTGTGTAGGAAGCGGGTGGGCGAAGGAGGGGGGCCAGGTTTGCCAGAGGGGGGAGAGCGGAGCAACGCTGTGTGCAGCCAGCTCCCTGGCGCCCAGAGGCGCCGGGGGCGGCCGTGCATCCGTGGAGGGCGCCGATGTGGCGGCGGGGCCGAAGGCGAAGGCGAAGGCAGGACATCTCGTGAGACCCCTCCCGGGGGGCGGGGTGGGCCGCCGTGCGGGAGCCGCCGTGGACCTCCGCGGCCCCATGTCGCGACCAGGGTGCCGCCCCGGGGTTCGCACAGACGTCGTCCACACTTCGACGGGAGTTCGACCAGATGTCGTCCAGCTGTCGTCCAGAGGTCGTCCAAAGGTCGTCCAGAGGTCGACCTGATCCGACGACATCCGGACCACACCACCAAATGAGCCCAGAGATCGCCCTTTCACACACACACACACCCACACACCCACACACCCACACACCGTTCACCACCCCGCCTTTTCTCGAGTAGGGGATCGACTGCAGAATTGAGTTACTCTCGGCGGTGGACGCCCTCTCGCGAACCGAAAACGGCCAATTCACTAATCGACGTGTCAGGGGAGGAGGTCTGTCCACCTCCGATACTCCAATGCTGTAAACGAGTTCTGTAGACCATCCCCTGCTCGACTTGCCCCACGTCCCCTCGCCCCAGCCCCCCTCTCGTCCTGGATATCGCTGGGGCGCCCGGGAGCGGCCCCGAGGAGCGGAGAGAATGGGACGCAGAGGGACACACACCGCTGCTGCGCTCAGGTCGGGCCTGTCCCCCTACAGGAGGATTTTGGACGAAATGCAAAAACAACTCAAACAATATTCAAAAGATGGCTCAAAATACTATAAAAAATAGTCGCCAGACTATTTCTTGACTATTTTTGAAATATTCCCCCTGTAGAGGAACAGGCCCGCCTTAGTGCTGCGCGTCCTCCTTCGGAGGCGTGCGCCAAATCCGAGCATACAGCACGATCAGCTTGTCCGGTGTCACCCCACGGGAGCCTCCCGTACCATCTTGTCGGCTTTTTCGCATCGGCGCTGATCGACGCAGTCGATGCCAGAGCCACGCGAAAATTGGCGCGAGATCGGCGCACAAATCGGCACCACATCATCGACTCCCAGACGCCAACCGATGCGAATCGACGCCGAATGCAGAACTTGGAGGGTATACCTAGGGGGCCACGTGCGGACCCTGCCCCTGCCCCCCACGATTGCTGAGGGGGAGGGTGGGGTTCACTTCGTTCGGGAGCTCCCGAGCTCCCGAACGAAGTTAACCCCACCCTCCCCCTCAGACATCGTGGGGGGTAGGGGTAGGGTTCGCATGTGGCCCCCTAATGCCAGGCTCTCGTGGGGAACCGAACTCTATACACCGACGCTTTTTCCGGTCCTTCACTGAAATGCGCACAGGAAAGCGGATCCTGGTGTATACGGATCCTGGTGTATATACATGTGTCGATGCTCCCCTCCCGGAAACGGGACAACAAAAGTATGCACCACACCGCCCCGACGTCGACCCCGTCCCTCAAAAAGCTCTGGGGTTGAAAAACAGCCCGCCACTCGTAATGTATCTGCTCGGGCGTTGGCAGAACTGGGTTTAGTGGAACCTGGTTTAGTGATGTGTACCCGGGGGCGCCCCCCCGCCCCGTTCCGCGAACCGGAACTGCCGTCACCCGAAAAACACCAGTTACGGCAAACCTGCCTTAGTGAATCTGGCCAATGGAGGGGCCCCAGGGCCCTGCCACTAACCGTCCTCATCCTCCTCCTCGAGGACGTCTCTTTGAGCAGGGTAACGAGGAGGAAGAGGAGGAGGAGGAGGAGAAGGAGGAGAAGGAGAAGGGCGGGGAGAAGGAGGGCGGGATGAGGAGGGCGGGGAGAAGGAGGAAGGGATGAGGAGAAAGAGAGGGAGGAGGGCAGGGAAGGCGGAGGAGGAGGAACGGAGGAGGAGAAGGAGGAGGGCGGGAAGGGGAAGGAGGAGGAGGAGGAGGAAGCGAGGAGGAGGAGGAGGAGGGAGAAGGAAAAGAGGAGGAGCAAGGGAGGAGGATGAGGAGGAGGAGGAGGAGGAAGGAGGAGGGAGGAGGAGGAGGAGAAGAAAGAGGGCGGGGAGGAGGAGGAGAAGGAGGAGGAAGGGAGGAAGGGAGGAAGGGAGGAGGAGGAAGGGAGGAAGGGAGGAGGAGGAGGAAGCGGGAGGAGTAGGAGGAAGGAAGGAAGGAGGAAGTGAGGAGGAGGAGGAAGAGAAGGAGGAGGGCGGGGAGGAGAAGGGGGAGGAAGGGAGGAGGAAGAGGAGGAGGACGAGGAGGGCGGGGAGGAGAAGGAGGAGGGAAGGAGAAGGAGGAGGAGGAGGAGGAGGAGAGGAGGAGGAGGGCGTGGAGGAGAAGGAGGAAGAAGGGAGGAGGAGGAGGAGGAAGAGGAGGAGAAGGAGGAGGAGGGCGGGGAGGAGAAGGAGGAGGGAGGAGGAGGAGGAGAAGATTCTGGGAGAAGGGGTCGTCGTCGAGGCGCCGCCTGGACGTACCGCGCGCACAGATGCATCGAGGGGGCCGAAGAGGGGGGGCGCCGGCCGCCGCGGCCGCCGGCGCTGGGGGGCGCCCGCGGTGGGTCACATGGAGCCAGGCCTCGCCGACGCCCTCGCGTCGTCTCCGCCGCCGTCGAGGAGGAGAGGGGGCGAGGAGGAGGAGGAGGGCGAGGAGGAGGAGGAGAGGAGGAGGAGGAGGAGGAGGAGGAGGAGGAAGGGGGGAGGAGGGCGAGCAGGAGGAGGAGGAGGAAGGGAGGAGGAGGGGTCCGGAGGAGCAGGGGAGGCGAGGAGGAGGGGGAAGAGGAGGGGGAGGAGGGGGGGCGAGGAGGGTTCGGAGATGGGAGAAGGAACAAAAGGAGGGGAAGGATATGGGGGGGGGGGGGGGGGCGAGGAGCAGGAGGGGGTCGAAGTGGTAAGGCTTCGGGACGCGCACAGACAGCCAGCCCCCCGAGGTAGTCCCAGCTGGCCTAAACAGGCCCCCGAGTAGTCCAGGGCGGTCTCAACACGCTGGCGCCAGCGGTGCCCCTCAAACTCTCCGCGCCCCAGGGTTGGGGTGTTGAGACCGCCTCGGACTACTCGGGGGGCCTGTTGCGACCAGCTGGGGCTGCCTGGGGTGGCTGTCTGTGCACAGCCCGAAGCCTGAGCCGCGAGAGGCTTTGCGCTTTTCAAAAATGATAAGATATTTCTGGCGCGGGCTTATTGGCGGATTTGGGAGCCCAAGCAATACCTGGAAAATCATGATTCCCCCGCGGCAGCCACCGCTCAGGCATCCGCCGTCGTCGCCGTCGCCACCGCCGTCGTCGGTCGTACTTGCAGAAGGCCCACTGCGTGGGAGGGCGAGGGGTAGGACGAGGAGGGGAAGG